TTTGTCATATTTATTAGCTTATGCTTTCGATCTATAAATAATTGGTCACTTTTGATCTAAGCGAAGTAATCTTCTTCTGTATCCTATTTATTTGCTGCCAAATTACTTGTGACACTGACACTCCTGCAGCCCAAGATCCAGTTCAGATAGACTGGTGACTTTAATGTGAAGCCATGGAATGAAATGCAAAGTATCCTTTACCTCACATTACGTGATTCCCAGAGCTATTAGGATAAGAAGTTTTTGGAAAAAGGATGGAGAGAAATTAACCAGGAATTAGGAAGTTTACATCCGCATGTATCCAAGGCGGAAAAAAAAATACATACTGGGCGTGATGCATGTGTGTACTAGTTATGACATGATGGGAGATTTTATCATGTTGTATAAAAATACAAAACAATAAATCATGCCTCAGGAATTGGTATGTGCCATGAACTACTCTATTGGACAGACATTGTTTTCAGTTTACTGGTGATGAACTTAAGCCCACCTGTACTTACAAACTATTAGCCATGTCACCGTTTTCTACACAGCTGTCATAGCTTAACACACATCCGTGAGTGATGGTTTCAAGAGACTCCAGCTGAATTAAAATGATGGTCTTTCCTCTCAGTGGGGTGCAGTTTTGTGTTCCACATCCTTATTCTGCATTGTTGGTTCAGACCCTAGTCCCTCACTCTTTTCTCTCCCTCACTCTTTTCTCTCCCTCCATCGCTCTCCGTGCTCCTTCCAGCTGTGCTAATAGCCTGCACCACTCACCCCCCACACCGCTGCTTTTTCAGCGTTATCCTCTAGCCCATTTTCCCTTGGCTGCTTCCGAACAATCGCTAGCCTCCTTTCTCCCTTTAACAAGCTCCGCGGCCACCTTTACCAAACAAAGGTAGTGTGAGTTGGAAGCGGGAAGAAGGCGCCCTCCTGAAAATAATGAATGTAAGCTCTGGATAAGCTTTTCAGGCCTTGAGGGCTGCAGGTTGCAGCCCCGTTAGCTTGTTCTTGTGTGTTTTTTACATGCTTTCGGATGCTGTAATTCCTGCGACTGTGATGCATCAGTTACACCAGCTGCAGCAGCATTGAGGCCTGACTGGAAACGTGTCCCTGTGGGTATGTTTCTTAGGCAGTTAGGACTGAGGAGGCTTTCTGTGTGGAACTCGAGGCTTTTGGTGATAGATGTGTGAGGATGTTCTGTTTTCCCCCATTGGTGAGGCTGCCCACTGTCTGTACGTTCTCAGTCCACTGTCTGTCCACATGAGTAGAGTTAGGGTATTTCCAACCCTCTCGATTCATTACCTACTTAATCCCCTCTGTATGGGAGTCCATGGTGCTTTTAGTCCCAACCTGAGAAAAAGAACAGGGAGAAACAGAAGATGAAACTGAGGGCAATACGGTCCGCTGGTGGATGGAGAATTTCTAAAGATGTTAAGCATGCAGAGAGAAGGTTTGGCCCCTGAGCTGTGTGGTAACTAAGGGCTTTTTCACCAGCACACAGAAGGCTGAGCCAAACTGGCAGGATTTGCATGCAGTCACCACAAAACTAATGTAAATGAGGAGGGACCGTCCATTTTAGTCCAAACCCCGTAATCTCCCCCACAGAAAATCCACTGTAAACACTTCCCTATCTATGCATGTTTTTATCTGCAGGATATAAATGTTTGAGTTCAGGAGAAACAAATGTTTTCCCTCCCTTCTTGTGACTTTTACCAGTTCAATTAATCTGTTTGAACCATACGCAGCAAATAGCCTACTTAGTGTTTCATTACATGCTGCCGTCTTGCTGTACCAAAATTTTGTCGCACGATTGATTTTTGAACGTCTTGCGTGCTGTTTTCTCACAAAGGGAGTAAGTCGTCTTGCTGTGAATCAGAAAGGGAAGGCAGGTCTCCGCATCACCTTGTCGTTTTTTGACTTGTGAAGGTGCCAAGATGTAATTAGGTTTCTGAGGAGAAACGTTAGCACATCTGGTAAAAACAGAAGAACAACGTATGGTGTTGTCTCAGACCTCTAAGGTCATGGGTTTGAATATGGTCCAAACTCTGGGTGTATTTCTATGTATATATTTCTATATCTATAATGTCTCATTACTTGTTGTACTCTGTCTTATACGCTGTGCTTATTGGAATAGGCCTAGCATCATCATGATTGTAACTGGATTAGAATTTATAAAAATGGATGGAAGGTGGCTTTGCCTACAATTTCCTGTTTTATTGATAGCGGGTACTGAGTGTGAATAAATGTCTTTTTGCAGCGTTGTAACCACTTACGCAAAAGCGTTTCTGTACGTTGAAAATATTTTGGTTTCATTTTCCAGTGATCCAAGTCCCACATATCAGCGGACGATCAAGAATGTCAACACCGATGTCAACCTTCGTATACAGAACCTGAACATTTTGATCAGACACATCAAAAGCTACTATCAGGTGAGCTGGTCTGCACACCTGCCCTCTTCCCGACTTGGGGAAGTTTGCCTGCTCTGACAGGTGGGTTTAAAAATGTGTTTCTTTTGCCATGCATGTGTCTTTATATTTGACACTTCTCAGATTATTAGTGTCTCCTGCATTTCAGGGGTGTGTGTTTTATGGCATGAATGCTGTATTCAGATTATAGCTGTTGACTGGACTCTCAAAGTGTTCATGCTAAGAAAAGGATTAGCGGCAAATACTAAACCTGTTCCACGAATTATTATAAATAACTGGTAATTGAATTATGTTTCAAAGAAGCTTTACCTTTTACCTGTAAAATGTATATTTAAAAGTTAAATCTGGTGAGAAAATGCATGAAAAAAAGTAGATCCAAAAATTTCCAAAATTTTACTGGCTCAGATTTCCAGTGTGTCGTATGGAGTAGTAGACTCCCTAACCTTCACCAGCTGTGAATGCAGTTATTTTAGTTATTTAAGTGTAATGCAATTTCAGTACCCCAGTCTATATTACTTAAATGAGTGCAGCAGTGCTTAAATAGAATGTAAATTTGGAGAGACCAAGCCTGTCCTGGTTCAGAACTATAGTGCTCTGCTTTACCTAGAGTACCTTGTGAAGCTAACTGGCTTTTTGGCGCGAGTACGTAGTGGTTCAGGAGCACTGGGGGAATTTCCAGCTCCCTGTTGCCTCCTGTGGACAGTGCTCCTCTCATTTTACTTCCGTACTGCCGAGGACGGGATCCAGCGTTGTTTTCTCAGTGTGGTTGTTATGTCATTTTGTGGCTTTAGCTCTAAACACAGGTCACTGCTGAATAAGGAACAAATGCCACCTGTGTTAGATGTCAAAAGGCTCCTAATTTAGCCTCAACCACCTTTTTTTTTCCTTTCTCCTGCCTCTTTGTTCATGTCAAGATTATGTCTTTGATGTGGAATTTTGGTGCCCAGAAGAGGGGAAATTCCTTCAAAACCTACATTAATTTGAGAGCCACTGTAGAGCTTTACTATTTCTCGGCATTGAGATTCTGTTCATCGTGGATTATTCGTCGTCGCCCCCCCCCCCCCCATGTGGAAACGAGATCAGTGTACCGCTGTGTCACAGGACTGGGGAGGGGCTTGCTGTTGCCAGGGGTGGAGCTTGAACCCCAGCCCCCCACCCCCACTGCACTCCTCAATGGAGAGCCGGTCGCCCTCTTTGAAGTGTGAGGCGTGTCCTTACTCAGTGCCTATTTTCTCTGTTGTATTCTACTGGCAGTGAAGAGTTTGCTAATGAGTAACTGGGCTGGGCGTGTGTGAAAGTGCACTCTGGACAGGCTGCCTGTTTGAATGGAAAAAGCTTCTTATCGATAACACTGGGCAAAATGTAGACTTTATAGAAACCGAATGCAGGTGTTTAGATGTGCAAACTACTACTTCCAGTTTGACTTATACTTAGTACAGTCAAGCATGTGTTTTTGTGCATTCTACAATTTGCTAATGATCCCATGTGTTGGAGAACTGTGCAAGAAGAAATCACTTTATGTGCAGCAAAAGAAACGAATTGTTGCGATTTGAGGATTTTATAAGGTGGGGGGGCATAAAAGGAGCCTTATTTCATGCAGAAGGGCCAACTTTATCATTAGCCAATGAAATGTTTTGAACTGGTGAGTGACGGGAAGTGGGCCAATCAGCTTTCAAATGGGGCCAGTGCCCCTGTGGCCCCACCCCCATATATATCACTGGTTCTCACACATCTAAGCCTAACGCTATTGCCTCTGTGGACTCAGTGAGTGATTGTTTTCCCCAAGGTTCAGGATGCTTTTTTTTGTAGACGTCCGTTCAGTGACCGCCGGAAGCGGTCTGCGGGTGCTGTCCATTCACTCTAAATTATAAGGCCCTGTTTTTTTTTTTGTTCTCCGCCCTTCATTGCAGCTTCTCTCTCCCTCAGGGAATCCTGCCACAAGCCATCCATCCAAGCCCCCATCTCCGCTCTTCCCCTTTAACGGCATGTGGCGGTTCTGCTGTTCTTTATTTAGACCCCGGTTACCGCAAGACTCCTGAGCTTAGCGCAAACCTTCCAAGATCCCTCTTTTTTTGAGCTGGAAGATTTTGTCTGTTTCTTTTCTTTTCCTGTTGTTTAGGTATTTAGAAATGATGAGAATGCGTGATGCTTTAAGGCGCTTCTCTGGAGGTAACCGTATTCCCGATGTGTGGAAGCGGCTTTGAAAGGGCACTATCCATTGTGGATCAGGGCCCACGGCAGCCAGCTGACTATTGGTTCAATGGCCACAACATTATCAGAATTCCCATGTGGCTATGCGGAGATCGTCTGAGATCGGATATGCTACCAAAACTGTACTTTTGTCAAGTGGGTTTTATTGTCACACCACCCATATGCAGGATATACTGTAGCATCCCCCCTGGACCATGGTGCAACATGCAAACAGCATTGACAAGGCCAGAGTTTACGCAGCACTTAAAGTGCAAAACACAGGGCAGTGTGAAACACTGGAACCGGACATATAGGGTTTATATACACAGCTCAAGGTGCATGTATAGTGTAGACAAAATAGGCTTTATTTGTTTGATGTTTATCATATATTAATCGTGTTAGTGCTAAGTCTTAACAAATGCATTTTTTGCAATTCTAGTTTCAATCCCTTGTCATGGAAATAAATAAAAAAAACTATTGAATAATAAATCTCTATAGGACTAAATAAATTTGGAATGTCTTTTGTCTGTTAAACAGACTTAAATAGGCTCTATCGCATAAGCTGTGCTCTCTGTGCAACGCCAGGCCATACACGCAGTTGCCTATGAAAACTTTTGCACACAAGTTTGGACTATTCAGAGTGATTTGCCTCGGTCACCTAGTCCAGAAGGCAAAGGGAGATATGGTTTGGTGTTCAGGTCGTGTTTCTGCACGTGGAACGAGGCTGGAAGGAATGAAAAACGGCTTTGCAGAAAAAGTGACCGTTAAAGAAAAAGATGGTGCAGCTCTGGACACAATCTTTTATTGACATGCAACTTCCTGTTGAGTCAGTCATGAATATCTGCATGTGTCCAGCCAGTAACACTTTTGACTGCCAGCACAGTTCGGCCTCCCACGCGGTTCTTGATGACTGATTACTTCTAATTGATTGTTTTACAATCACACATGGCCTTTCCCTGGACAAACACGGGACAGCGACCTCCTGAATGTAAAGTAGCCGTATCTTGGCAACCGGACCCGAAGCGAAGCCATTCCCATGTCTTTTCTCTCCTAAACTTCTGAAAAGCGGTAGGTGTAAAATACGCAGTTAATCACAGAGGCGCCGTGCTGGACTGTCGTTCGCTTTTTGGTCGACGTAAGATGAGAGCCCTGTGCGGAGCAGTAATGTAAACCCCTCCCCAAACATGGATCCGTGACATCCCATTAACCTTGACATAGGAAGCAATCTAGAATGTTCTTTGACAGGTTAATACACTTAATACTTCTGCTTGATCCCCCAGAGATTCTTGGAGATGTGTGTCGGTTTCCCCTTAAATCTGGTCAGATTATCGGCTGCTGGGTTATTCCTCATGGCAGCTTCTTCCCACAGATTCATTTAGAGGCTAATGTGAAAAGTGGATGTTTGTGCCGTTCACGCTTTTTCTGTTACTGATTGTGTTATTGATCGTTTAGCTAGTGAAAAAGTAACTTTGGTTAGGGTTTCATGCATTTGTGCTTGCAGATTGTCTGCTTCTGTTGTGTTTTTTTCTGATCACCGTGTTGGCTGTGCTGTTGATTTGAATCCATCAGGGCCATCAATTTTTTTTATCATCTATTACATAAAATGCTTTTGGCCCAGTATGTGTGTGTCCCATGTCAAATCTGATTGGTCACTGGTGATGCATAAAAAAATACACCCCTTTTAACGTTCATCACCGCAATCGTCTCTTGGAGTGATGCAGTGCTTTAGCCAACCAAGATACCTTTGCAAATTTCAGCCAGAATAACAAAAAAAGCTTAATATTTTTGTGAACTGCTTTGTTGACATTTATTAAAAAATGGTTGAGAGCTGCAGTTTCCCTCATTTTGTTTTTGGCGGACTTTATCTATGAAGGTAATTTCCTTGCTTTTGTATTTTTATTGGCTAATCCAGCATTCAGTTAGGCATCACTACTGGACTCCGTTTTTCCTTAAATTAATTACGTCTTTTCATTATTCCAGACGAGCAGCTTCTCACAGGTGCCTCACTAACCCCTCTGAGATGCTGACAGAGCAGATGGCTGTCATACGCCAACCGGCTGTCTGCAACCCTTTGTCCTCTCCTCTCTCTTAATGAATTACTATTCGTCAGTCCGTCAGAAATATTGATTAAGTGAGGAATCAACAGGTGTCACAGATACGGTTTGGCTGAAAGTCCCCATCAATGGATACGGAGGACAATAGCCAGATAACTTGTCGGAGGACATTAATTTAGGGGTTAATGAATTACTTGGATACTCTGTCTGTGTTTGTGTGTGTTTGTGTGTGTGTGTGTCCAAATGTCCCAACAATGTGATAAAAAACCTGTTGTTTCGATGTTGGCGGGACCTTTTTCCAGTCCCCACAAGGGGAAATTCAATTTGATAAAAATCTGTAACTGCCGTTGAAAACTAAAAATGCCAAAAGTGTTATATTTTGTTTGTTTACTTATGGCTAAGGTTAGGGCTGGGTAGGGGTTACGGTTGCCATTGTTGGGGTTAGGGTTTTGCCCATAGAAATGAATGGAGAGTCCCCACAAAGACATGAGTACAGGTGTGTGTGTGTGTGTGTGTGTTTTTATCTGGGGAGATAAGAATGTTTTATCCCAGTAGAAAGGTATTTAATCTCAGTGTTCACTGTTATTTCACCTTCATATTTACCTTCTGTGTATGTAACAGACAGATAAACTTTATTGCACATGACGCCCCCCCCCCAGTGCATTCATATGCACTTTTTTTTAAGATCGCTGTGCCAGTTACCAAGCAGTGGGGCCTCTGGGAGCTGACCAGTAACAATGGTTGCCAGGCACTCTTTGT